TCCACCTTCATTGAGCATATGTTTGGGTGGTTGATTTACAAAACCTTCAAGATATCCCTCAAAACCATTTTTACTAAATATCTTTAGGATCTATGACTTCCATGTGAGATGATTTTTTGAGATGAACTATAGATATTTGGCATAAAAATTTAAGGGATATTGAATGGAAATATTGTAACATCCCACAGTACATATTAATAGTAATGTCAAGTATCACTAGCATAACATTCATTTCCATATCATTAAACATTAACATACATTTCCTTCTTCAATAGAATTTATAAAATTCTAATAACATATCATACACTGAATATATAGAAGTATCTAAAATTCAAGTTAGTTCAAATATCACTTACATAACCACTACAACAAACCAACTAATACATGACTGAATTATTTTAATACCTCAAAAACTAGACTCACTAACAAAGACAACTTTAACATGAAAACAAGAAACACTTGCATAATTTAACTTGCATTAATTTTCTCATTTCCCTTTCTTGTAATAACAGCCAGTGAGAAATTACTGGTAAGCGTGATTCTCAATAAATTATGCCAAATAAATTATAATTACAAAAAAATATTATAAATAATACAATATTAAGCCAGTCATTGAATTAACTTACCATCATTTGTAAAACATTATAAAAGCATAGGGACATCATCCATAGGTAATTTAGGAATATACTTAATATTTAGTTTATTAAAAGATTTGTCCATACTTCCTTAAACATATTCAATTGAGCCCAAGTGAATATGAAATTATCACCAATGAATTTCATAGAGGTCCCTTTTGCCTCTCTAGGAGTCCCTTTTGTCCCCACCTGCTATGCAGGCTTTTAATTTCTCTAGGGTCCTTTTTGCCCCAATCCGTAATACATATTTCATATTTGGATCACTTTTGCCCTCATGATATTATAGACATCATAAAAATAGGATAGTAATATTTATTAAATAAATATTTAGTAACCCATACATTTTTATAATTCAAAACTGTCACTATTCATTTAGCAGTACAAGTGTTGCAATAATAACTTGATAATCATTACTCAAAGAATTAAATTTCTTTCTAACATATTATTCAAAAGAATACAACAACATGATTGATCGCATATCAACTTTTATTTAAAATTTTTCACAAATTACAACTGCTTATATGTGATCACATCAATGTATTTTCATAATTACTATGCAAATATTCATAATGCATTGAATATCTCAAAACATTTAAAATACATGATAATTATACTAGAAATCAATAACTTAAAATTTACATAACTTACCTTCCTGACGAGTGGTTTCTTTCAAACCTGCACCACGTAATCCTCGCCTTTGATACACTATCCCAAAACCTTCTTTCAACATAAATCTATGAATAATCCTACCATTCAAATAGGGTACCATCTTTAGGAATGTCACTGAATTTAGGTGACATAAAAGATAAAGATTAATAGTATGTTTATTCCCTTCTTCTTCCTTTAAATTTTCTCTCTTAAACTTCCTTCACATGCACTTTACTGCACAAAATCTGCATTACACTATTTCCATCGACTTTCATTCCAATTAATAATTCTGAAATCCTTTCTTGCAGCCAGTGAACCATTCCCTCCAATACTATGCTAAATGCCTCCTTATTTCTTCCTATTATAGCCGCATGAACTCTACCCTAGCAACCCCCCCCTCCCCCCCCTCCCCCCCCCCTTTCCAACAATCTTCCTATACTAGTCACACCACCTTTCTATGACAATAAATTTCAATTCTTTTCCTACACTAGTTGCCCAAGCCAACCAGTCCTTGTTCTTTCTTGTATGCATTCTCCACTTCCTCAAAAGATTAATGGATTGCAGAATTATCTTTGATTTGATGCCTTCTTTCCCAGTGAACTATAATAGGAGGAAGAGGTGTTCACGATTTATCCAAACTGAGGGAAAGTGGCCCATATCTAGCCTCTAACCACCCCCTTCAATAGCTTCTATGACATGCATCCATTCAATTTTTTTTATTCAATTAACTTATTATCATAATTATTTAAACTAATATATTAAAAACATAATTCTTATCAATACTTATTTATTTAAACCATACTAGAAATTTCTGGTTCTTATAAATATCCTCATTTCAGATTGCATTCTATCACCATTGATTAGTGAGTTTGTCATGGAAGAGTCGACTTAATTCATTAATGAAATAGAAATGAAGAGAGACAATGACGTGAGAAGGAAAAAAATATTATAAAGAATACAACATTAAGCCAATCATTGAATTAACTTACCATCATTTGTAAAACATTATAAAAGCATAGGGGCATCATCCATAGATCAATTTAGGAATATACTTAATATTTAGTTTATTAAAAGATTTGGCCATACTTCCTTAAACATATTCAATTGAGCCCAAGTGAATATGAAATTATCACCAATGAATTTCATATAGGTCCCTTTTGCCTCTCTAGGGGTCCCTTTTGTCCCCACCTACTATGCAGGCCTTTAATTTCTCTAGGGTCCTTTTTGCCCCAATTCACAATACATGTTTCATATTTGGGTCCCTTTTGCCCTCATGATATTGTAGACATCATAAAAATAGAATAGCTAATATTTATTAAATAAATATTTAGTAACCATTATATTTTCATAATTAAAAAATGTCACTATTCATTTAGCAGTACAAGTGTTGCAAGAATAACTTGATCATCATTACTCAAAGAATTAAATTTCTTCCTAACATATTATTCAAAAGAATACAACAACATGATTGATCACATATCAACTTTTGTTTAAAATTTTTCACAAATTACAACTGCTTATATGTGATCACATCATTGTATTTTCATAATTACTATGCAAATATTCATAATGCATTGAATTTATCAAAACATTTAAAATACATGATAATTATACTAGAAACCAATAACTTAAATTTACATAACTTACCTTCTTGACGAATGGTTTCTTCCAAACCTACGCCACGTAATCCTCGCCTTTGATACACTATCCCAAAACCTTCTTTCTACATAAATCTATGAAAAATCCTACCATTCAAATAGGGTACCATCTTTAGAAATGTCACTGAATTTATGTGACATAAAAGATAAAGATTAATAGTATGTTTCTTAATTACCTTATTCTTCCTTTAAATTCCCTCTCTTAAACTTCCTTCACATGCACTTTACTGTACAAAATCTGCATTACATTGTTTCCATCGACTTTCATTCCAATCAATAATTCTGAAATCCTTTCTTGCTGCCAATGAACCATTCCCTCTAATACTGTGCTAAATGCCTCCTTATTTCTTCCTGTTATAGCCGCATGAACTCTGCCCTAGCAGAGAACTTTTATTAGGTTAAGACACCTGACGTAGCTCTACATTCGGACGTTAATAAAATAGTGCCACGTGCTCTTACTCTTTACCACGTGGCCCGACGACCTGGACCCAATATTGCTATGTATTGGCTGATTTGTGCATACCAGGGTATTACTAGGTATTGCTCGGTATTGCTCGACAATAATGAGAAATACCATTATGCTAGGTATTGCTCGGTATTGCTTGGTATTGCTCGGTATTGGAGCAATACCTAGCAATACCGAGCAATACCTAGCAATACATGAACATAGCAATACCGGGTTTCGGTTCGGGTCAGGTCGTCGGGCTGCACGGTAAAGAGTAAGAGCATGTGACGACATTTTATTACCCTTCAATAGCTTCTATGACATGCATCCATTCAATTTTTTTTCTTCAATTAACTTATTATCATAATGATTTAAAATAATATATTAAAAACATATTTCTTATCAATACTTATTTATTTAAACCATACCCGAAATTTCTGGTTCTTACAAATATCCTCATTTCAGACTGCATTCCATCACCATTGATTAGTGAGTTTGACATGGAAGAGTCGACTGAATTCATTAATGAAATAGAAGTGAAGAGATAAAATGACGTGAGAAGGAAAAAAAATGCCACATTGCTTACAACTCTTAATATGTTGAATAACACCATTTGGACCAATATAACAAACATAAAGCATAAGCATATCATAAGAAAAAAGAGAAGACAACAGATAAAGTTATAAGACAATTTTTTATTCTGCACCGTCAGATCCCAAATAACATATATTTTAGACAAGAATATGATAAGAGGCTGCTATCACGATAACATAAGTAGTCAATAATCAATGACCAATATTAATAAGATGTTTTAAACAGAGGGCTAAAATCAACTAACACACATAATGACATATTAGCTATTCGATAAAATATTATAGGAGAATGCAACTGATTTGGAGAGCATGATTAATTTGAAAAGGTTGTTATTATTGGCAAGAGTGAAGTTTCTTTAGTAAATGAGGGAAATATATTGCGTGTATTTGTGGATATTTCTTATAACATTGTCTAAGAGGGTTTCTATTGAATAGTTGAGACTAGAAATAATGATACCACAAAATTTTAAGCGATAGTCAAATGATTATTGATGTTCTAGAAGTTTATTTGATCTTAAAAATCATTAGTTAATAAATTATTCATCATATAGTAAAAAATATTCATCTAATACTTAAAAAAAAATAATTAGATTTTCTTTTTATATGTCAAATCATATTTTGACAGATGATTCTAATCTGAAATTAAAATAGAAGTTGAATTTTAAATATCAACACCACTGAATTAGGACACGTTAACATATTGTATTTTCCTCTTCATATGTCCGAAGGTCTTGCGTAGCGGCGCTTTCTCAACGGTCAATAATACCTCATGGGCTTGCTTTAACGGCCCAGATGAACGGAAATTAAGTACCTTGTCATGCTAACCTCCCTCCAACTTTTCACAACTTCACCGCCGTACCCGCTACTGGTGGAGCAAAGCAGCACGCGCATTAAAGTCTTAAAAGCACAAGAATTCTATATTCACACGCCGGTAATTCGTAAAATTACTCAAAATAATGCGCCGGATTCAGCCTACTCAATTCTGTTAGCGTGTGCTTATCAACTTTCTTCTGCTATTCATCGCACTGCACGATAAAAAGAGTTGGTATTGTTACCCTCGCATTCAAGGAACGTATCCGTAGAAAAGACGAATAAAAAATTGGCGAGATTCCTCCCTTAATCACCGAAAGTCCGAAGCCATTATCATCATCGCCTTATCAAGGCAACGATCGCTCGCTCTACCTTTTTCCCTTCGCACACTTCTTCTCTAGATTCAATCCCCTACAGTTGGTTTGATCGATCGAATTTCTGCTTACTGCTGCAGGCTTTGGCCTGATCTCCGCAACACGCTGTTAATTCCAGTCTGGTAGGGTCTCCGTGGGGTTCCTAGGGTTTCGGGTTTTCTCTGCGGCGTCTAGGGTTCGCAGCTGGGGAACGATGGATTCTGAGGACGACATGCATGACGCGTATGATGCGGATTCTTTGGATGAGGATTTCTACAGCGGAGGGACGCCGATGGGCAGCGACGACGGCGATGCCGATTACGATTTCGTGGACAACGAGTCAGAGGACTCTGAGGACATCACCTCGCATCGCCAGCAGGTGAGGCGATGAAAAGGCTGTTATGGAGGTCCATTGTTTGACTTTTGGATGGATTCGCGCTTGTTTACAAGTTTAATTTGGTCTTTTTGATGGATTGGTTTGGTGTCGGGGTCGGCTTTTGAGATATATGAGCTTGTTGTAAGGGATTTGTAATGCGGCGCAATAAATAAGTAAGATTTAGATGGTTTGAGCTGGGTTTGGGGGAATAGGTAATGGAATATCTTAAAGATTGTCAGTGGTGATCTTTTTTTGCTTTGAGATACCAGCCGAAGTTGGTTTGTCATTTTGGTGGCAAACTCGCCCAACCTAAGGACTTGTTAGTATTATTCTTTCCCGCGTTAATGTGTTGCTTGGAAGTGATAAATGGACCTTGTATTGACTGTCTCATGTTCTATGGTTACTTTTTTGTGAAGAACACTTTTTATTCTTCTGGCTAGCGCAACTTTTAAAATTTTCATTGTCATTACAATAAGACGCCTTTCTGGATAAATGGAGGTCAGGAAGCATAATTTTGTCTCTCGATAGGGTAGTATGGTGTTTCATTAGCTTTCTTGGTTAGACTTCTTAAGACGCTTTGATTAGTTTAGGTTAATTTTTTTGAATGCTTTAGTATAACTTGCACTGGTTTGATATTTTCCATGTCTGGTACCGTTCTTGGCCAGCAAGCTGATTTTGATCTTTATACCCGGCATGAGTCTGCAACGAAGCAGCATTTTGGATTGTTTCGATGATACAAACACTTGGAAAAAATACAAGATATGATTATGCATTGATGAATAAAGATAAAATAAATTTACTAGACAAGTCTTACCAAACAATAAATATTATCAAATTTCTAAAATTTGAAGGGTTGCTGATGTAGGTGCCTTCCCTAGATAATTCTATATGGAATGTAGGTGGTCTACATCTTATTAGGAACAGCTTGAAGCAAAATTTAACCTTGTCAACTTGGTGCAAATTTCATCTTATAAACTTGGTGGCAATCATGCTTTGATTTTCTTATGAATCCTTCATCATTAATGAACCATTCTTTTCAGGGGATAGGAATCAGGCTTCAAGCCTGATGTGTTGATCATTTGATTCTCCCAAATTTTTTCATATTGTTTGCTGGTTGAATATGAATTGATCTCTTACATGAAGCCACCAGGGCCTCATTTTGTTTAGTTTTGTTTGCTTTCTGCTAGGTAAAGCTGATACAATGCAAACGCTTGTTGTCTCACCATTTGAGTTAGCAAAACCTGATAAAATTTCTCATAAATTGCTTCAGAAAAGTTGTTTTTTTGATACTGAGAGAAATTTTGAAGCTCATTGTGTATCACAAACTCTTATTGGAAAAGTGAAAATACAAAGTAACCAAACAACCACTAGGTAGTCCCTATGCAAGTTTAATAATATTATAAATCTTTAATATGAGATCTCAGCAAGCCTTGTGATTTGTGATGATGTTCTATGGTTTTTCTCTCCTCTGGATTGTGTCGTATGCTTTGAATGCTTGTCTTGATGATAATCTTCATGAAAGAGGCCTATCTGACTTCATTTTTGTTGCTTTATGCTACAGATTGTCAATTAGCTCGAGTGATCAATTTACACGTCGCTGTTATCAATAGAAATAAGAGAACAAAGTTGTTCTCCATTCTTTTCAATGTTTTTGACATTCTCTAATTTTAATATTTCAGCAAAATTATACAATCTTAAATATCAGTGATATACGCCAGCACCAGGATGAAGATATAAGTAGAGTCTCAACTGTGCTTTCTATATCAAGGGTGGCAGCCTGTGTTCTTCTCCGTCATTATAAGTGGTATGCTTTACTCGCTTAAGCAAGCGCAAATTTGATTTTTGACTTATCTCCTTTAAAACCTATCTTATGATCCTCAATGTCTTTTAATGCCAACCTTTGTAGTTTGTTCAAGAAATAATGAAAAATTTCTTGCTGCCACATTTGTCTGTAAGTCTGGGATTATTATTTTGGCGAACGCATGTTGTTAATGCACAAACAAATTTGTAAACTGTGGACTGAATTCTTATCAGGAAAAATATTGTAAGAATGGAGTTAGTAAGAGGCACATGTTTGAATTTGCGGCAACGGGATGTTTACAAAAACTTATGTTTCAGATCCCTATTTCAGTTTGGTGTGCAGAAATCTATTATAGAAGGCATCATGAAATGATCTATAAATTCTCTGCAGCAAAATGGCATGATGAAATATTTTCTTATATTGTAATTTGTAAGACTTACTTGATTTTGTTGACTAAAGGGCCTCCACTAAAAAAATCTTCACTTTTCTTATGCTGGAAGATTTTTGTTGATTGTAGTCTGTAGATTAATTAATGCATACTGCCTTTTTTCAATTGGTCTAAAACAAATAATATTGTTAATTTTTAGTTTAAAAAAGTAAATATTGTTATTTCATTCTCACAGCTAAGGCATTTGTGCTTATTGTTTGACATAATTGCTAACATAAAATGACAATAGGAAGCATGCATGCTTGACATGACAAAGTGCTATTATCAATTATCCAAATTAATGTTGGGAAAAATTAATCTATCAAGAGAAATAGCCAAATCAATGGCTAAAAATAAAGAACTGCAATAAAATAGAAACAAGGAACACAAATTTTTTTGCAGATCATCAAGAAAGTCTCATCTGCATCCACGACTGCACTAAGAGGGTTTCTACTAGTTTTTGACTAGGCACGTCAAACTATCACATACTGTTAGTTATATCTCTCTTATTTTCCTTTTCTCTCTTTTATTTCCCACTTTTCTCTTACACTATTTAAATAAGTAATAATATTAGATGACTAACCAAAGCATCCATAAACAACTTGGAATATACTAATACAAATTTATTATTATATTGATTCACCTTTCTCTCTCTCTTTTATCTCTCCTTCATTTCCAGTTTAAAGTAAAAGTTCAATGTTAACGCAAAAAAATATTAAGTTCACCTCCTTTTTGGGAGGCCTATTTAAGATTTGTCTCAAAGATTGCCATTTGTCCACCCTTGGTCTCAAATCACCGGCCATAGGAGCTTGCTACCCTCAAGAGTTATTGTCATCGCCAACCATCGCACAATTCTATCACCGACCTCTTCTTATTGAGATGTTGTTGTTCATTACAAAAGATGTTCTTATTGACATGTCCTTATGCTTCCAACCTTGATCAAAGTTGCCACGTGCTGCTCTTCTTGCCTACCAAAATAGCATTCCTCTCCCCATCTTGCTTATTGTTGGTCACAAAGATCTCCACATAGCTGCCACAATTTGCTGTCAACCTCCTTCTTGAACCCAAGTTGTGGCCACTTTTGAGAGATTAAGCAAGACCTTGAATGGTCTTCGTCATCAGTGGCTTTACAAAAGATTTGAGAACCATACAATGACCCTTTAATTGCTTCATAATTTATAAATGATTGACTCATAGTGATGGGATTATTATGTGATGACAAATTTGTTTTAGTTTTCTTTAGATTTGATTTGAAACTTGTGATTTAGATGGCTTTATTTTAGCAAAAATGTCATAAACATATGAAATCTAGAACAAACTTTAAATGAGATATAATTTTGAATTTCTCCAAAATCTTTTGAGTTTAATGTCTTGCTTGTTGACGTAATTTAGGCTCTCCACAAAGTAGCAATCTACCACTAGGATTTCGAATTTAAAATGTATTATCTTGAAGGGAATTTAAGTCTATGAGGCACTGCCTGTTAGTTAGCTATTGAGTTTACTTGAGGATTGTCATGCTTCTTGGTTCTGAAAATTCATTTGTTCAGCAATGCCCTCTTATCTTTCGGTATTTCCAACCCATTAGAGTTTCAAGTTAATTTTCTTCTTCAAAACATTTCGGTTCAACATCTATTATGAATAAGTAGTTCAGGGAAGGAATGTATCTATGTATATACTTCAGCATTCTTTCAAATCTTAAGTTTATCTTAGGCTTACTCAGCTCTACCTCTGTCTTATTATTCTAAGGAATTAGTAAACTATCTTTTGACCGATCATCTTCAAAAATCTCCTTAAGCTCAACATACAAAGGTATGTTTTATGGCATTGGTCAAGTTGTCCTTGTACTTGATAGGAACATTTTTTCCTATTATGATCATTTAATTTTGAAAAAGGACTCATGTAGCCAACCCCATGTAGTGGGATAAAGGCTTGATATTGTTGTTGTGATCATTTAATTTTGAATATTCCAAATTTTTATAATCAAAATTGTCAACTCCATATCCAATGAAATTTCACTTGTTAGATTTAGGGTCTATCTATTCTCTATCAAAAGAATTTTGATGCAATAAAAAAAAAATAGTATTGCAAATAAAAAAAAACTTGTCTTCCTTCCAAATGACAAAACACACATACTAATCAAGATACAACAACACCTTACAACTTCAAATAAAAAGGACACAATAACACTTCTACTTTCAATAAAAAATGACACAACACAACTTATAAAGATTGAGAAGAAGGATACATGTGGAGTGGATACCATGGCGAGAAGAAGGAGATTAGAAGTCCGAGACGAAATCAAAGAGAGGACAAGCTCGCAAGGTTTCCCAAGAAGAAGAGAAATGGAACAAGCTCGCAAGCTTTTCCAAGAAGAAAACCCTCGGGTTTTTTACTCCAAAAATTATCACATAATCTTCTTTTTTTATTCTCAAAACACCAAATATATATATAGGAGAATAGGGGCAGCCAAACAGCCCAAAATACCACCAACCGAACCAATCAAAACAGGGGAAATAGAAGGCCAGCAGGCTGCCAGGAACAAGAAATAGAAGGCTATCACGTTCACTCTTTTTTTTGGTTCTACCACTATGACATTCCCACACTTCTTTGTTTTTATTTTTTTATTTATGTTTGTTTTGTTTTGTGGATTTGCCTTGTGAGCACTAATTTTCTTTATGCCAAAGATTATTTATGCAGACATTTAAATTCTTGGTTTTTGGATAATGTGTAAATGTAAATTTTGTGGTTATCTGGAATTAGATTCTATGAATAGATGTTATGAGACATGCAAGTTATGGGCTTTGATTGGCTATTCTTCCAATTTTCACTTTTATGTGTGCAAGTTTGATGTTTGATTCATTCGGGTGCCGTATAACTTGAGTAGGGGTGTAAACGAGTCTAGTTGATCTCGAGTTAGGGGGCGTTCAAGCTCGACTCGCGAGTCGAATACCGAGCTCGACCTCGAGCTTGAGCTTGACTCGCGACAGTGTAACGAGCTCATCGAGCTGCTCGATTTCGCGTCTGATTTTTATTTTCCTGCTCGGTTTTTGATTTCCCTCCGTTTTTTTTTTTTTGTTTTTCCACGTGGTTTTTTTTTTGTTTTTCCACCCGTTTTGAAAGCTGTTGCATTGGAAAAAAGCCTGCATATCATCTTTATATATAAAGCTGCTTTGGGATATATTTTAAATTTTATATAATGTTTTTTGAAAATTTCACTGTAGCATTGATTAGCATGGATATTTGAAAATTTGTTTATTAACTATACAGCTATAGAAGACTTAAACTTAATTTTTTTAGAACTTTTAAATGTAATAAATATATTAATAATTAAAAAAAATTAAATTGTAATTCGAGCCAGCTCGTGAGCTCATGAGCTGAACCTCATTAGCTCGAACTCGAGCTCGTTTACTAAATGAGCTTGAGTTTGAGCTCGACTCGTGAGCTTGATAAGCTCGGCTTTCGAGCCCATAAACGAGTCGAGCTCGAGCCAGCTCTACTCATTTACACCCCTAACTGTGACTATCTAATTTTGACATGGTCATCTCTTTGTAATAGTGTGAAGCGTTATCTTTACATTTGTTAAGTTTTTCCTTGACCTAATTTCTTCTATATGTTTTGTTATTAACTTGCTAGTGTTTCCAGCTTTGTTTAAATTTAATAAAGCTTGAATCAATTTATTGATTTTATGTGTTTCAAGATTCTTGCTAATTTATTCGATACTTATATTATTATTTGGGTTCTAATTCTCGTATTTATTATTTATATTTAAAAAATGTTAGTTGTTGACATATTTAGTGTTGAATGATCTGCAAATCCTAGTTTCCTTTACATGATTTATATACATCACATAATTATTTACTTTTCGAAGCCATAATCCTCAACCATCCTACATCACCCTGTTTGTTTATTGTGCCTTTTTGTGCCGTCTAAATATACGTTGCTATTGAATGCATGCTTGAGATCATGAAGGAATCATCAATTTTATTGAGCATATTCAAAACTGTGTTTTGTCAGAAGGCTTTTGTGTATTAAGCTGGCTCGGTAAAGCTGCGTATGGTTTACAGTGCATTGATAACTAAGCATATATTTTGCTAAGCATATATTTTGTAGTAGAGAGCTACAGCAGGTAAAGTCGAGTACACTTTTTTAGACCATACTTTGATTCAGACCTGAGGTAGACATCCACCATATGTTCTAGGGTAAAAGATGATTGTATTGTACATGATGTTTGTTTTCATTGTGATATCCCAATTTACTTTCTTCATGTTATTCGTTTGTTATGGAGTGCAGGAGTGTCAGTAAGGTGCACGATGAATGGTTTGCGGATGAAGAAAATGTTCGAAAGGCTGTTGGCCTGTTGGAAAAGCCCTTGGAAATGCCTCACACTAGAGAAGTAACTACTTTGCCTTAGCTTTGTTATACTGAGTAAATGATTGTTTGCTTTCATCTGTTGGTTTTGAATCCAACTTCATTTCTTATAAAAAGATTGCAATTTTGTTAACAGTTGACTTGTGGAATATGTTTCGAGAGCTATCCACGGGTTGAAATGTCTGCAGCGGCCTGTGGTCATCCTTTTTGTGGTGCCTGCTGGAGAGGTTTGGCCATCTGAAACTGGACATTTATTTGATTGCCTTACCAATGTGGAACATATTCTTTCTGTTTTATTGAATTCTTGGCATGGTAATTGAAATCATCTCGTCCAAGCCTAGCTCATATTGATATTCATTAGAATAATAATTAATTTTAACTTCTATATAATAAGTTTTAAAGTTATAGTGGATCATCTTGGTTTTGTTGCTCAACGTGCTGGTAATTGGTCTATTTTGATCGGAAGCTTTTCTTTTTCAAAGGGAAATTCAGTGTTATGGCTTCAATGTTTCATTGTTTCTGAAAACAAGGAGTCTGGCCTATCAGTTCGTTTTGATCACCTTAAGTTAGCTATTACTTTGATCGCTCACGTCAGTCATGTGGAGTGTTGGCTTGGCTAACAAAAATTCTTTAAAATCGAGGATGGAGCATGAAGTCCAGTTTATGATGGATTCACATGAAATTTTTTAAGGCAGTATTCTTAATAATTTCTGCCATATTGACCAGTATTATTCAATTCTGATCGATTCATATTATTTAAAAAGAGAAAATAATGTTTGGTTTGAAAGAGCAACGAGCAATTGTGATGTGATACAATGAAGATGAAACAAGAATTGCTTGCACGAAATTAATAAATTGTGAACTTGACATAGTTAAACATAAACGAATGCGTGGTCAAGATAGATCTTTAGAAAATTCCACTGAAGAACTAAGTAACGACAATTGATTACAATTAAGAGCAATAGGAGACTTGCAAAATTACATCAACAAATAATATAAGTAGAGCAAATGACATGTTAACAAAATCCACAGTTTAAGATCTAGATCATTCACCTCGGGATCCCTCACTCACACTCTTGAAATGATAGGCTTAGCGGAGGAAGGCTGCAAGCAAGCTTAGTGATGCCACTAGAAGACACGTGATGCCGAGGGGACTAGTCGCCGGGGAAGGAGCCGGAGTTGGAGGAACGGATGGTCGTCCGATGAGAGCCCACGATACTAGGGTATGTTGGAGTTCGATCGTCTCGGCGAGGCAGTATAGGATTCGGTTGACGTATCTTTCCATCGATTCGTCGTATTCCCAATCGGGCTCGTAGAAAGGAGAGAGAGGAGAATGTCAATCTCTCCTTGGACGTTGTAAGCAAAGCCGTGATCAACTGCCGGGTCCGCCATTCATGATCATGAGCGGACTTAGTGTGTAGTTGGGACGTAGGGGTGGAGGAACCGCTACCTAGGAGAGGCGGCCAAGAGGAGGAGAAGGGAGGCGGGTGAGATCTCAGGTGGGAGGAGGTGGAGAGGGGAGGGGCGGCTAGATCTAGGTTAGGGTTTGGAGTAATTAGGAGAAATCTGAAATTAATTTCAGATTTAGTGGAATTAGAGGGAACGAATTTGAATTTTGAATTCAAATTCGAGTTGAGAGAATTAAAGTGGAAGAGAGGAATTGTGGGAGATTAATAGGGAGTCTTATTTGAGAGCAATTAATGAAAATAGGAGAGAGAGAGAGGGAGAGAATAGGTGGCCGGCCAATTACGGGCCAAATAGAGAGAGGGGGAGAAGGTTTGAGGTTTAATTAAGTGGGCCCCAAGCAATAAACAAAGATTTAAAGAAAATCTGAATTGAATTTCAGATTTTATTTAAAAGGAGAAGTTTCTAAATTTAAGTGCTAGCATTTGGAAAGCATTTGAATTTCAAATTTGCATTGAAATCCAATTAAGTAACTTTCCTAATTACTTAGACTTATTTTAGGAAAACGATTAATGAATATTTGAAATTTTAATTTCAAATGTGAGGGCTTGGGGAGGTTGGCCGGCGGGTTGAGCAAGGGGGGAAAAGGTGGCCGGTGGGTGGAGGACGGGAGGCCGGCGGCTAGGTAGTTGGCCAACAGGTGGGGCATCCAAGGAGGCCGGCGGATGGGGGGGAAGGGGCTCATTTGAAAAAAAAAAAAAAAAAACAGGTGCTTTGGTTAGGGAAGGCGACAGGAGTTTGCTTGGGGAAGAATTGTAAGTTGGGGAAGAAAAGAGATCGGGGCCGCGAACCTTGGAATCCACCAACGGTTGACGAGTCTTGCTTTCACCCTCATTGGGTTTCTCCTCTCATGAACTCACTTAGAGATCAAACAAAGAACATAAAAATTCATTTCATAATCATCATCTATTACAATGCAAGAGGCCTCCTATAAATAGGCCAAAATGAAAGAAACCAGAAAGACAGAAATGTACTGGGGGCTACAATAGCGACTCAATACCCACAAGAGTAAATTAGGAAAAATAAAAAATGCAAGAACAAATAAAATACAAGATATATCAAAAGTAAAGACTCTGGATCGTAGTCGTTGATCTCCGACTCCGACGACGGTACACATGTCTAAATCTGATGTCCTCATCAAATTGTCTGTCATATGTGAAATCCTAAACATGGCCTTTTATTCCATATTACTTAAGGTTATTAATTATATTTAATTAGTCAAACAACCATATTTATTAGGCCGTGCTTGGGAATCCCATCCTAGTTTTATGATGGATTCATCATGAAATTTTCGAAGGCAGTATTCTTAATAATTTCTGGCAAATTAGCTTGTATTATTCAATTCTACTCTACGCTTTATTATTTTAAAGCATAAAGTAATATATCGTTTGAAAGAATAACAAGCAATCGTTTGTCATATATGACATCCAATACTTTGGAAATTGGCCTTTTATTCCTTATTTTTTAAGGTTATTAATTATATTTAATGGGTCAAGCAACCCTTTTTATTGGGCCACACTTGGGAATCCCATCCTTCAAACAACTAATCACCAGTAGAAATAGTTTAAGATGCCCTAATCTTGATTCAGGAATCCTAATCACTATTTAATTTTTCTTGGTTGTTGGTACTATTTTGATGGTAAATATTGTGAAGCCCATTCTACAAGCCACTAATTATGAGATTAAATAATTTAAGATGCTTAGGCTTTGTTTGGGACAGCTTTTTTTTAGTTTCTTAAAACGGAGTTTTAGTACAAACATTAAGCCGTCCCAAACAAAGCCTTAATGTAAGTTGTACAAAATGATTTGTGAAGAATAATTTTAAGCCCTCAACAATGAATGTATAATGAGGATTCATACAACTGAGCTCAAATAGTTTGGGTAAAACTAATGGTGATGATGGTGATACTAGTTAGGTAAGGTGACGTACTATATACCATTATTTTTATGTATTACAATGATGCAAAACTTCTACTTTTAGTTATAGAGTTTTATTAGTATAAGTATTGTCGTATTTAATGGTTGTTTTATTTTGTTTTCCCTTCGTATTTAATGGTTCTTTTATTTTGTTTTCCCTTCGTATTTAATGGTTGTTTTGTTTTGTTTTCCCTTATGTTATTTTTGTCGATCATTAAGGATTTAGATTTTAATGATTTATATAATAGATTAAATACTAAGGAGGGCGAAAGATGTATGTATAAGTTAGCCAAACAACGAGATAGAAGAAGTAAGGATCTAGTTTAAGTGAAGTGCACTAAAGATGAAGATAAAAAATGCTTTTATTAGAAAAGAGGATATTCAACAAAAGTGGATGAAATATTTTAATAAGCTTTTCAATGAAATTGTGAGAATACGATTGACTTTAGTAACATTAGAACACTAAATAAAAATAGAGATTTTTTTGCTTTTATCATTGTATTAGTAAACCCAAATTTGGAGAGGTTTTAAGAAAAATAAAGTGTGGAAAAGCTGTTGAACTTGATGATATTTCAATACTGGTGTGAAAATGCTTAGGATATGAAGGAATTTTTTGGCTTACGAAATTTTTTAATATTATTATGTAGACTAAAAAGATGCCACATGAGTGGAAGGGTGCGTTGATTCCTATTTTTAAGAATAAATGTGACCCACAATAGTGTGCAAATTACAGAAGAATTAAGTTAATCTGTCATACATTAAAACTATGGTAGAGAGTTATTGAGTATGTGTTACAACGTGATACTAATGTTTCACAAAATCAAATTGGATTCATTCCAGGTTTGTCTACTATGGAAGCTATACATTTATTGGGAGGATTTATGGAGAGAATAAGGAGGATCTACATATGTTAGTTATCGATTTAGAGAAAATTTATATTAAAGTTACAAGAGAAGTGCTCTGGAGAGTTCTAGATAAGGAGTTAGTAATGCTTATATTTAAGTTATTAAGAATGTGTATATGCAAGAGCTGTTACTTCTGTTCAAACAACATAAGGTGGTTTGATCGTCTATTTTCCTATTTTAATTGGATTACGTCATGGATAAGCTTTAAGCTCATATCTTTTTGCTTTAGTCATAGATGTTCTTACTAGACATTTACAAGAGGTGGTACCATTGTGTATGCTTTTTGCTTGTGATATTCTTCTTGTTTATAAGACTAAAGAGAGTGTTAAAGAAAAATTTGAATTATGGGGATCAACTTTAGAGTCTAAAGATTTTCGTTTGAGTAGATCGAAAACTAAATATATGAAGTAATTTTAGTAGTAATAGATCTATTGGGGGATTGTGACTTTAGGCAATGAAGTCATTGATAAAAGTACACTTTTTAACTTTCTCAGGTGTTTTGTTTAATGTGATGATAAAATATATGAGGATATTATTAGTAGAATTCAAGTTGGATGGTTGAAGTGGAGGAGTGCATCGGGCCTGTTTTGTGATGGAAAAGTTCTCCTCAAACTTAAGGGAATTCTATAAGATGGTGATGAGACATGCAATGCTTTATGGTGCAAGATGTTGGCCATTAAAAGAGAAACATAAAATTAAGGCTTCGTTTGGGACGACATTCTTCTTACTTCTTAAAGCAGCTTTCTAGTAAAAAAATTAAATTTTTTGTACTAAAAAAACGCTTTAAGAAGCAAGAAGAAAGCCGTCCCAAACGAAGCCTAAGTTAAGTGTTGCATAAATGAGGATGCTCAGCTGGATGCCTGGATGAGTGGCTTCACTCTTTGAGATAGAATGCTGGATGAGTGGCTTTACTCTTTGAGATAAAATGCGAAACAAGTATA